GGAGAGGAAGACCTCCACTGAGATGGCTTAATCACTGTGCCACCAGGGTTTCTTGCAGTGACGATACCCAGACAACTTCCACATTTACAGTTTAGCGACTCTGGTCTGCCCCTTCCTGTTGTGCAAACACTAGTTCCCTTGCCCAAATCATCCCACCACCGAAGCAAACTTGCTGTTCCCCATAAACCCTCCCACTCCCTCCCTCCCACCCTGTGTCCACTAATGGTCACGGGGTTCTGCGTAGTTACGTTTCAGAGGAGTGAGGCCACTGTTTGTCCTTCATCTGTGGCTTCTTCACTGACTGTGTTGTTTCCAAGTTTCATCCACAGGAGGGTATGAGATGCAGCACCTCGTTTCTCTTTATGGCCTGCAGCCCTGCGGCCTGTTTTTCATTGTTTTTGGTCAAATATTCTTCTAGGTCGTATAGCCCTGGTCTGTCCATTTGCTACATTTGTTACAAAGGTAACTTGTGATTGTTGTGAAGCTGGACACTGTGACACTGATGTGTCAAATGCGATAAAGGTTACCCATGGTGGACAATGTATGGTGAAACTCCCTGATTAAAACAAGCTTGGAAGCAGGAGTGACGTCCACTTCCGTAATAGCTTGCCTCCGGAAACTCTGTGAACGTGGAGAAAGGATGAAAGTCACACAGGTGTTGAGGACTTTCGTTTATAGGGTCACTACGAGTCGCCTACGACTCCACCGCACTTAACAATAACAACAATCCATTCTATTCATGGTCCTCTATTGTTCATCAGGTTTTCAGAGGCCTGATGTTTCAGAAGCGGAGGCCCAGCCTTCCTTCTTCCCAGAATGTATTAATCTGGGATCTCCACTAAAACCTGTTCTTGTTCAGGCCGTCTGAGAGCTGGACAATGAGTAAGGATAACAGAAGAACTGCTGCTTCTGAGCTGTGGTGTCGGACAAGAGTGCTGAACATCCCACGGGCTGTCAAAAGAACAGATATGTCGCAGAGAAAATGCAGCCAGAGTGCTTCTTGGAGGCAAGGAGCATGGAGCTTTGTCTCACATACCTTGGGCATGTCGCTATTAGACGCTGTTCCCTGGAAAAAGTCAGCATTCTTGGAAAGGTGGAGGGTCGGCGAAAGAGAGGAAGACCCTCAACCAGGTGGGTCGACACAGTGACTGCAGCTGTGAGTTCTTGTGTATCAGAGATGGTGTGGCTGGCACAGGATGGAGCAGGGTTCGGATCTGTTGTTAACAGGGCACTTAATAGCAACAGCAGCAGCAGAAACAACAATCCATTACAGGGGTGGTTTTTTTTTAAATTTATTTTATTATTTTGTGTGTGTGTGTGCTGTCAAGTCAGATCTGACAGATACAGGAAGAGATTGCCCCCCCTTCTCCGGCAGAGCATCTGGTGGATTTGAACCGCATATCTCTGGGATTGCAGTGCAGCTTCTTGCCGCTAGGCCACCAGAGCTCCCCCCATTACAGTTTTTAACCAGGGCTCAGGGGGTGTGAATAGTGAGAGGTTTTCGCCCACCTTGAGGGTGTCCAAAGTTTGGAAAACCCAGCCCTTGAAAACTCTATATAGCAGAGTTCTGCTTTAACACGCAAGGGGGTGCCTCAAGTCAGAGCTGGCCCAGTGGAGACTGCTGTATTTTCATTATTATTTTTTTAATTGATACCTTTTTTTAAAAGCCTTTTTTGGGGAGCTCAGGTGGTCTAGTGGCAAGAAGCTGCAACTACAGTCCCAGAGGTGCACGGTTCGAATCCACCAGATGTTCTGCTGGGGAAGGAGGGGCAATCTCCTCCTGTACC